AAAAGTCACACGACAAACAAGTCAATTAGTTTTAAATTAGCTTCAATCCCAAATTAATTGAGGTAGTTATAAGATTTGTGTGTTGATTAAAACTATATGTTATTTAAGTGTGGATTCAGTAATTTTAAATCCATTGCTTTGTCAAAGATATTATTCGTGGCTAATTAATGAGTCTGCATGTGCAAGGCGTCAATGTCGCCAAGTCAACCATTAGATTAGGTTTTTGACTTTCAGGAAATTAAATATCATAGTTAAGTTGCAGAAATGTTAGTTAGGTCATGACTTTTATTATTAGGCAATATAATTACAAGCTTAATAAGCGTATTTTAAGCTTTGTAGTCATTTCATTTAAATTAGTGAAAGCGAAGTAATAAAAACTATCATCTTCTTTTTTATCCATCTAGCTGGATTTGAGTTTGTTAGATTGTTGAAGAAAACTGTTTGTACTTAACCAGTGTTCAAGATCACTTCATAGAAGCATTGAAGTAAGAAAATTTGAAGATAAACGATTTAATTAAACTGCTGAATTCCCTTGATTGACGTTTTCTGTGTAGTTTGCATAAATTAATTTAGAAAACATATTCAAGTGTGACATTATAGTGTTTTTTTAATCCCCTGCCTAAAAATTGTCCCAACAATACTGCTGGTATAGAAATTAAAAGATAGTCTGAAAAAGACAATTTCTACGTTCAGGTGTTAAAGTTTGGCTAAAAGGGAATCGGAGGGTGATGAGCTTACGCACTGAAGTTTAATCTTGAAAACATAGCACAGCAGCAAGATCAAGTACTCCAAGCTGCAGCAAAGCAAGTAGAGTTAGCTTGAAACTGGGTTACAGACAGCCAGAGAATCAGAAAGAAGAATAAAGTTACGTTACGTTTGTGTAAACAATTTACTACTATATGATACAGTGGGTAATGACTTATAAATAGTGTGTGTAAAGCTTGGATTTTAGAACCAGAAAGTCATTAATTCGAACCGTGAAAAAAGTCTCTTGCATAAATACGATTGTGTACAATAGACTCATGTAATCCGACCCTTCCTTGGAGCTTAATGCACCAGGCTGCTTTTTCTCTGCCAGCAGACTTCTTTTAATAGCACTAAAAATTTTGCAGCTCATGAACATCATGATTTGAGTTGATGTGCTAGAGGAGCATTAAATTGTAAACACAACTGAACAATAAGCAGCTTCAGTAATGAGAGTCTCTGCTTCTGGTTAATGCAGCTTTCATGATTTATCAAGTGGAAGCAGCAAAAGAATATGTAGGGGAAGAAAATGACGGCCCCCTGCACGCGCCTTTTTGTCTTTTAAGCCCATATATAATAACTTGTACTAGTAATACAGACAACCTCCCAACATGACAACTTGATTCTCTTTATAGTATTAAAGTTGCTTTGGTACATTTAAAATACTACTATCTCTGCGAGTGGGCTGATGGAATAGGGTGTTATTATTGGTAGTCTGCAACAGAAGGATGCCCTTATGAACAACAGTAGATACTAGATAGTGAGAAAAAAAAGAACATATAATAAATGAAAAATTAATTATTGTTTATGTCATAAAGAATAGTCAAATGTTGGTTAATTACTATATTTCACCTCCAGAAATGCCTTATCAAACATATACAGTCGAGTCCTTCGGGATGGTCCAGTTGGTTTGGAGGGCGGTGATTCATACAAATAATCTGGGATCGATCCCTCCTCAATGCCTTCTGGGTCGAGTCTGTCGCACATGGTTTGCCTAGTGCGATTTACATCTCCTGTGTGGTTTGCAGGTTATTACACAGTGGGGGATTTATCCAGTGCGCACAAAGTTCTCACCCGAAGGGCAGAGGCTGTTGTGGCTGCATGTTTCTCTAGGGTTCCAAAAAAAAAACATATACAGTCAAACCTTTCTAGAACGACACTCTTTACAACAACAACAACAATAACAACAACAACAACAACAACCCAGTAAAATCTCACTAGTAGAGTCTAGGGAGGGTAGAGTGTAAGCAGATTTTACCCCTACCTGAAGGAGTAGAGTGGCTATTTCCGAAAGACCCTCGGCTCAAGAAAATAAAAAGACAAAAGGAGAAAATATTAGTATCACCACAGAAATCATAGGAAAAATAGTAACAACATGAAATCCAGAAGAAAGATGCAAAGCAAAAGTGATAGCTAGTAAATACGTCCTTCACAGAAAAGCGAAATAGTAAGACACAATATTGTCACTAGCTATCTTAGACAAAAACCCTACCAGACTTGTCTCACAAAGGTACGAAGTAAGGCAAGACTCAATACCTTCTAACCTACAACCCTAATACTCGACCTTCATATCTTCCTATCAAGTGTCATGTCCTCGAAAATCTGAAGCATCGCCATATCCTGCCTGATCATCTCTCCCCAATACTTCTTAGGCCGCCCTCAACCTCTTCTCGTGCCCTCCACAACCAGCCGCTCACACCTCCTTACCGGAACATTTGGGCTTCTCCTCTGAACATGCTCGAACTATCTAAGCCTCGTTTCCCGCATCTTGTCATCAATGGGAGCTACATGCACATTCTACCGAATATCATCATTCCTAATCTTATCCATCCTAGTGTGCCCGCACATCTACCTCAACATCCTCATTTCTGCTACTTTCATCTTCTGGATATGTGAGTTCTTAACAGGCCAATACTCAGCCACATACATCATGGCCGGTCTAACCACCGCTTTATAGAACTTACCTTTGCATATCGGTGGCACTCTCTTGTCACATAGGACTCTAGATGCTAACCTTCACTTTATCCATCCTACCCCAATACGGTGTGTTACATCCTCGTCGATCTCTCTTCCCTTTGGATGATCGACCCAAGGTACTTTCCTCTACTTGGGATAACCTATAACAACACCCTTTGTCCGAAAAAATTATGACTACTATAGAGAAATGATGTTATACATAACATATAATATAACATAATGTGAAAAGTCAATTTCAAAGAAAACTTGACCGTTATAGTGAAATATTATTATAAATGATGATTGTTATAGAAAAGTGTGACAATAACGTATAACTAATGATGTACTCAGAATTTAAGCTTTGTGATCATGAATTGAAGAGTGAGTTAAGAATTTTACCAAATTTTAGATTGGCCATTGTGTAAAAAGGGGATGTTCTCTTTGCGGGTGCTCCTAAAGCAAGGAGGAAAATATAGTTTCTTTAATTAGTGAAAGAGAAGGAGAAAAAGTGAAGAGCAAATAAATACAAGAATGTGAAATGCTAAAATGAGATAGCTTTAGCACCATCCTAAAAAAGGGCATCAATACGCAAGAGCACTTTAAGGTGAAATGCTGATATATACACTCCACCTACTTGCCTACTTTTATTATTAGCATTTAGCAGCAGCTGTCCATATATATACTACTCCACTCTTATATACAGTAATGGCTAGCAAATAGCTAACCACATTGCCTATGGAAATAATAGTCGGCTTATTTCCGTTGGAAAAGGGAAAACAGAGTCACATGGCCATTTGAGGACCTTTTGCTATGCAATTATGAACTTTTCCCGTGTCTCATTTTTATCCCTCATCACATATGGAAGGATTAAAATAGCCGGTCAGCTTCGATGTTTACTTTTTCTATTCGGTATATATAGATTATACACACGTTAAACATGAATTTTATATATATTATATATCTACCAGCTATTTTTAGTTTAAGAAATTCGGTAAGCTGCTATTTGAGTTAATTCTTCTTAAAAACAAATGGCAGACTCTATCTCTCATTTGTGTTTAACATTTTCTATCATTTTTTTCCTATTCACTTTATGGGAACTTCATTACGTAAAGGAAACTATGTATTTTAGTACACTTGAATTAGGACTAGAAGTAGATATACTTTGCGTTAGAGTCAAGCTAAGAGTTTTACATTGTGCCTCTATATATAAGTTAATTTGGTGGATTGTGAATTTGCAAAAAAAAATGGTGTTTATGAGTTATCTTCAAATATTAAAGCAAGAGTCGTGAAAGAATCTTTTTCCCTTAAAAAACAAAACTAAATCCAAATAGGAGTCTGGTGTATAAGGCATACAAACTCTTGAATTTTCGTCGCCAATGATGGTTCCAAAAACAGACCTACGAGTCGCTATACTATTACGAGGCTCAGCATGCACACCAACAATAATTAAAGCTTTGATTAGAAATAAAATGAAGACGCAAGGTCTACTGTTTTTCTTTTTCGAACCTGTTGAGAGATACTTTTTTAGCCGAAATTTTATCGGAAATAATATTTCTATCTTTTTGAGATGGTGTAAGATGTGCGTATTCACTACCCTCCCAGACAAATATATGTTATTGTTGTATATTGAAGCGGGCACCACCTCCCATTGCATCCCATGCTATTCCCCCATTTCTCCACCATCATCATACTCTTTTGTTTTCTCCCCTAGGTTTTGTCATAAGATTTTTCATCCAAATCATGACTCCGAGAAAGGCAAAATAAAGACGAATCCAGAATTTAAATTCAATACATTGAGAATAAATATGATCCAAAGAAGTCCGCCGATTAAATTCACAAAAGTCGCCTTAAATCTATGTTATAGAAATAATAAAGTAGATAGAAGTTGTCTTAAATCCATCTTTAGCTAAAGTGGGGTCCTCGTCCTACATTGAATAGAAGTGATGGCGTTGGCTTCACTGTTAAATCAGTAAAAGCTAAAAGCCTCCATGAGAACAGTGCCTAAACTGCTAAGCAGAGGTTAAAATATTGGACAAGTACACTTTTCAAAAACCTCGTCCTCTTCCCATGTGAAGTTTCAATCTTCTTCCCCAAAAACACCATCTCTCTCACTTTTCAAAATAAATATGATAACTCGCTATCCTATACTATGTTATAAAATATGCAGAAACTGTATACTGATGTATTTGTAAGGCCAAATTATGAAATTAGCAGTACTTATATGATAAGTCTGTACTCTCAAATTCAATCACGACATTTGTCTAAACCAAACAAAAACCATAACCCCCACAAANTGGACTGACTCCTTGGAGATGCGTGCTGTGCTCGCTCAGGCCATTTCTCTCATCTGATAACCCCCTCTCCTCCTTCTGGGTTCTTCTTCTCTCTCTCTCTCTCTGCAAATGCATTTGCAGTCTTAAAAATCTTTATATCTATCTTGCATCGACACACACGCACACACACAGAGAGCGATAGAGAAAGAGAAGCATACGCATATATATGGCAAGTGGGTGATGTGATATACCCATTTGTTGTATTCGATTCTCTTTTGGTTTCTTATAGGTAAAAGTTGCGATTTTTATGCGAAACGCTTTCTGGGTGCGTTTCTAAAAACCTCTTTTTTGTTTTGTTTATGGTTTGCGATAACAGAGAACACAACTAGGCGCATCGATCAATGGAGAATGGTGGAGAGAGTAACGGCGTCACGTTGTTCACGGAAGAAGAGTTGCGAGAGATAAGCGGAGTAAAGAGAGGGGATGATTACGTGGAGGTGATGTGTGGGTGCACCAGCCACCGCTATGGTGATGCTGTTGCTAGGCTTAGGGTTTTCTCTTCTGGTGAACTTGCAATCTCCTGTGAATGCACCCCTGGCTGCCAAGAAGGTTTGCCTTAATTGCATGTTATGCGAGTGTGTGTGTGTGCGTGGACTCTGTGTTGCGCTTTACGATAAGATGTTGTTTATGCGTTTAAGGTTTTGAGCCATTGTGCTTTCTATATAAGATTTTATCTGTATGTTAATTTGCCTCAGAGAGAACAACTTCTTTCTGATATAGTACTAAGGTATGACTGATAAGCATATTAACAAAGCTAGAGATACTAGCCTGCATTGCCTGCTTTATACTATGTGATAATGTTCTATTAATGGTTTAGTTGCTAAAGGTCTGACCTTTGATGCAGAGTTCTACTTATAGAGGCGAACTTTTGCTAAACCAACACTCTTCAAAGCCTGTTCTTTCTGGTTGAATAACTCACTGGTTCCACCATGTCGAAAACTTTGTCATGGAAACTTTTTAATACAATCAAATCTTAATGTATAATGTATGTTCATGGGAGCTTATCCAGGGAATAGTGCAATGTTTTGGTTGAATACATGGCTGTAATATGTGCATAGTTGTCAGAGGATATATCTCTCCTTTTTATCATTCACTATGTATCTTCTTGGTTTCCTCTTTTCTTTATTACAATCATAAGCCACAAAGAATCATTTATGTACTTGATAAGTAAAATTCCACAATACAAGAATGATTTGATAAAGTACATTTTTAAGTCCTACGCTGGTACTTGTGTACTTAACAAGAGGCTCTTTCTCTATCTGGAATCTGGATAGTCAGCTTCTTAGCTGTTGTTATACTTCTTGTATGTGCTAGTGCTAGACAGGAAAGTGCATTCTATAACACGTTCACTTTCTTTACCCAGATTCTAATTTGTTTTTCATGTGTGCATAAAATTTGAGTTTGCCTCCTACATCATTTGCTTTCTCATCTCCAATTGCTAGTTTTGTTTTCTGATTTTGTCCATCTCTGGCTAAAAATGAGTGGAGAACTGAATGTGTTATGTGGAATTGTATAAATATATCCTCTCTTTTTAATTGATGAAAAAGATAATTATCCACTTATTCTGTTCGTTTATGTTATTTGATAGTCTTGTTGTGCACTGTGCTTCTATTAAGAGTTGATGTTTTGTGATCAGACAAGCTGACTCCAGCTGCATTTGAGAAGCATTCTGGAAGAGAAACTGCAAGGAAATGGAAGAATAATATATGGATCATTCTCAATGGTGAGAAAGTTCCTGTGGTAAAGACTCCACTGCTCAAATATTATAACAAGTCTTCAAAGCATGCTAATGGGTCACATAGATCTCAAAATGGAAAAGTGCATCGCGATGAGTTTTTAAGATGCACTGAGTGTAAGAAAGAGCGCAGGTTCCGTCTCCGCTCAAAGGAAGAATGCCGAATTTACCATGATGCTTTGGCGAATATGCATTGGAAGTGCTCTGATATTCCTTATGACAAGTATGTTCATCTAATTCAAGTTTGTTTATTTAATACTAGTTGATTGGATTCTTTTATTCCTCCTTTTCTAGACTTACCACCCTCTTATACATTCATGCTGCGGGTTGATTTCTCCTTAAGAGACAAAATCTTTAGCTCAAAGTTACACTATGAATGGTTGCAGAAGTCATGGAATGGGAAAATAATTGCGGTTTGTTTGTCTTGGAAGTCTTTAGCTAATCCTGCGGGTTCTTACCCTTTTTTTGTGAGATCTGTATCTGATTTTCATTCCTATTTCATTTACTTGATGATTCCTTTTGGTCCAGCTTCATGATATACCAGGAAGTATGCCTTTATTACTGTATCATATCCACTCTAGTTCTACCCCCTCCCCCTCCAAAAAAAATAAAGAAAGAAAGAAAAGAATGTTGGCAATAGGAGGAAAGTTATGAAAGATCTAAGGTCGAATGTGCACTTGATAACCTTTTATGTCAAACAGAAGGGAAGGGCAGGCACCCTTACCCGGAAGTCTTGTTTTTAAGCAATCGTCTCGTCCTATAGGTCCTGGACATTGGCATTTTGCATGTTGAGGAGGATTTAAAGAAATTTTTGATCTTAATCCTTGCAAACCATCATTAGCGCAGTACTTTAGCTATCTGACTGTTTTTAGGTGTAAGACAAAGTAGCTTGCTTTAAGTTTTATTGTTCTAATTGAGTGCCTCCAATTGGCAAGAAGCTCAATTGATTTCAAGCTAAAATAATTGGACTGCAGCTCTTCTAATTTTGTTTTGGAAGTTTGGGATTACTCAGTCCAATATAGCATTTTGTATTTGCATATAAAAATATATATTTGAAGTGAAGACCTTTTTCACCCTCTAAGCCCTAAGTATTCCTGGATCAATAGCATACAAGTATCGTGAGGGAGAGGCGAAACAACTTTATTTAGGGAGAAGAACCTGCTTGAATTAGCTAAAGTCTTCCAAGAATGTATAGGTGTATGATATCATACATACATCGGAACGTCTTTCCTATTTGAATCACAGATATTACTGCTTTAAAATAAGTGTCAATTTCTTTTACAGAAGTAGCATCTCTCAAAGATTTCCATTATTTTCTCCTAATCATACGCCTATGGGGTCTTTGCTTATGGTCAGAACCTGCTTGTCTAGTTTAGAGGGCTCTTTGTTTTGTTAGATTTTGGAAGTCAAGCGACTTATTCTTGAGAGAAATAACTGTTTCTTGTGGGAATTGGAATCTTATAATGCCATCCAAGAATTGAGTCAGAATATGAGGCATTAATGAATCTGTTGTTGATGTCATTGTAAGGTTTGCATCGATGAGCCCTCCTCCACTCTGTTGGATCTGAAATACTGTGGTTCCAAGTGAATATAGAAGAGTGTATTTGATGCATGCCTCATCTTATTAGTTGGTTGAATGCCAAGTGATGTAGAAGAGTTTGCTGATGCATATCTTATTAGGTGGTAGGAAGCTTTTATGATGTGCATTCAATTTTTCTGTTACCAAAATGTGCTTGTAGATTGGCAACTTAATTTTATCATTTCCTTTGCTTCTGTTACCAAAAGGTAGGAAGTGATAATATTGTTCTTCCAAAATATCAAAATGTCTTATTGGTCAATGATTTTAATTTATTGACTCATTTGAATGCTGGCTTTTTCTGTGTTGCAGAGTTTCATGTGATGACGAAGAAGAACGAGCAAGCCGTAGGGTGTACAGAGGATGTTCTCGTTCTCCATCATGTAAAGGTTGCACCTCCTGTGTTTGTTTTGGGTGCCAAGTATGCCGTTTTTCGGACTGCACTTGCCAGACTTGCAGTGATTTCACAAGTAATGCAAAAGCCTGATTATTCTATATCTTCTCTTATGTTTTCCCCATTATTCCAACCCTTGCAAATGTTCACAGCATGTTTTTGCTGACATAACTAATTATAAACCCAAATTTTCCCTGCTCCATTTACAATCAAAGGCTTTCTCTTTATATATATGTTCGTTGGTGCCATATAGTATTACTCTGCTTAGTAGATGGAGTATCAATTAATTTTGGGAATTCTCGGGTATTAATAGGAATATGATTTGATTTAAAAAGCAGCTGCATTTCATGCTATTCTAGAGAGTAAGTAAGTTTTGGTAAGGTACAAAAGTTACTTGCTCTAAAAATAAGTTATTTTTTCTTGTCTTTGATTGCTAAAAAATATTTTCTAATGACCTCACTTTAGACATTAACTATCAATTTTTACATCCAAATTTTCATTAGAACACTAGTCGATTTGTTAAAATTATCATTAGACATTAATGAATATATTTTACAATCTAACTAAATGTTGGAAAACAAGGGGTATTATCATTTTTAGCTCGCGCCAGAATTGTTTATACTCGGTAGCCGAAAGTGTATAAAATTTGTATAATTTTTGTATATAACATACAAAAATATTTTTTTCGGTTATTTTAAGAGCGGCTATACAGTGTCATTTTATCAAAACAATTCTTAGGAACTTATTTTTAAGAAGAGAAGTCATTTATAAAAATAAAAATAAAAAATTCCAGAAAACTCTTTCCCTCGTATCAAACGCAGTAGGTAAGAGAATATCTCTAAATTGGGAAATCGCCTTACTGAAGCTGGTGTTACATATGTGAGGTTCGTTAACTGGATTCTTCATTTTTTGACAGCAAATGGGACAATGCAAATCAACAAAGTGTTCTTTCTGCTTATTTTATTTTGACGACTCCAAAACTAGTTAGAGCATAGAGCATTAGATTAATAGAGTAATAGAATATTGTGTCTGCTGATTAAACAAAAAATAAACATCTTATCTTTGCTAAAAGTCATAAAAGTATTTCCAAAAAGATGCCTCCCACCACCCAAATTTCCTTTTCTGTTAATGCGTTACAAAGAGCCCCCAATTAATTTAATTATGCCATGTAGAAGTAGAATTTGTGTGTCGATGTAACATCAAATACACGTTCTTTATTGCAAAGTCTCAATCTTTCTCCATGAAAGCACAAAGTCTCAACGGCGTCACTGATTGAAAATGCAAAAGCTTAAAAAGTTTAGTACTTTTGTGGCAGGCAAAGTAGAACGTCAGTGAATAAGAAGCACATATACGTGCCAAAAACTACGAGAAAGTGTTTTTAAAGGACCATGTACCCACTGCCACGTCTTCGCCAACTAGACCGATTCCAAGTAAAAGAAAAAAAAGTTAATCTCAATCGATATTCACATAACCGCATGTATTTTTAACATATTTTTAAAGTCGTAGTTTGGTGTAAGCACCGGATACGAATAAACATATTTGGCAACAGAGGTAAGCCTATTAGCTCCTGTTGGATGGCATTTTGGAGCGCTTTCTTCCTTTTCCTTGTGGGGGGAGGAGGGGACATGTCCTACTAATAAAGTTGAAGAATCTTAATCAGTACGTGTCTAGCTTGTTTATTTCATGAGACTTCTCAGCTGATAAATTTATCAAACCAGTAACAGTATAGTACAATAAGAGAATGATTATCCAACTTGCACGTCTCTCTTCAAAAATCCACTTAGCCAGATGGAACAAAGTGGAACTACTTAGCCACTGCTTTGTGCATCGTCTGCATTTTCTAGGAGAGCATTGCTGGAAAGCAAACAGTTAGAATTTGGGACAAAATGCATTACATTTGATGAAACCATAAAAAGGTGAATATCCCTGTACACACTTGATCCCTGAAGGAAAATGGGAAGCAAACTCGGAAACCTACTACAACTACTACTACTACTGTATTTTTAATAGAAGTTAAGAGTAATTTTCTCCGTGCATGGTATCAATGGTACATTTTTTCACCTTTCAGTTACGTTGTGTCCTGCCTCTCCTACCACTAAAACGGCCACCACCCCTGTGATTCCCTCTCCGACCACCACCAGAATGAGTGCCTTGATTGAAGTTTGGAGAGCCGTGTATATAGCCGCCTGGACCTGCAGCATTTGGTTGTGAATTGTTGTTCTGTACCATTTGTGGTCCATTCACTGGTACCTGACCTCCCAAAATCAAGGGTGTAGGAGCCATTTGACCCATTGACAGTTGTGGTTGATTAAAAACATTTTGTCCTAATGCAGGCCAAGGTAGAAATGATGGCCCGGCACCAAAATTTGGTTGGCCACCTGCTGGGAAGATAAAGTTGGACGAAAGAGTTGGATTCATTTGCTGCTCAAAAGGTACTGCATTTGGCGAAGGCATTGGAAACATTTGCTGTTGATGAATCTGTTGTGGCCATGGCATGCCAATAGTCGGCAGTGCATTAGGAAAGCCCATATTCTGGGGCTGCTGATATGGGATTCCATTCGTCCAAACTCCAGCTGATGGTGCTGCTTGACCAGGGGCTTTTTCCATAGAAGGAAATGGAGGGGCTGATGGAGGCCTACTACTCTGTACATGTCCTTGAAACGAGGAGTTTGGATGAACACCTTGATCCAGTGAACCAGCAGCAGCTGAGATAAAACGTTGACTTTGGTCGACTGGTGGCCTAGCATTTTCACGTTGCACATCTGCAGCCGCAGATTCATTGTGTTTCCAGTTCTGAGATTTATTTTTGGGTTTCCTTTTGTCCTTGTTGTTTCCTGGTTTCTGGTCATTTGTGGCACCCCTCTTTTTCATTTTCAGCATTCTCTTGTACTCAGCCTCCTTCTCATCATCTGAAAATTCTTCCGCCTCAGACACCTCTTCATCATTTTCACCAGATGCATCATACCCTTTCTTGTAAAGACTGTTGTCATTTAACACATGTTCGGAAAATTCAGGGACAAAAGAGATCAAGGTGCCCGGGTTGATTCCAGTTGGGACTTCGTTATCAGAATTGTATCTTACAATGTAGTAAGGGTTCTTGACAGGCCCAAAAATCTCATCCACTATACCTAGAGGAGATCTGCTTTCTGTTATCCAGAGAATAGAACCGTCGTAAAGAGGAGTATGCTTCTCCACCCCTTCTACTACAACTTGGGCTCCAATGATCTGTCAAACCATACATAGATAACAAAGTTGAATAAAACAGAAGCAAAAGACAAAAGATCAGATTGCGTTGTTTGCTTTTTAGCTTTTTAGTCTCACCGATGATACAACTCCTACAGGCAGCATCTGGTGATGTGGTTGTAAGGTTACAGTCACTGCAGGAACTGGGGGTAGAGCCTGCAGAAGCAAGAAGACTGAATATTGTGCATGTTGAGAAAAACATGAAAAGCAAATCCACAGCGTCACTTCTTACCATAGAGTAATATCATAGAGTTCGAGTAGCAGCATAAAATATTACCTAAGCAACCAGATCATTAAAATGAAGTTTGCTTGGATGCAAGTCAGAGTTCCATGAAGAGAAGAAACTTGATTTGTTTTTACATTTTCTGAAATATCGATTAATCTCAAACTGGGACTGATCAAGATGTCCTTCTAGCTTCTAAGGATAAGTAGACAGGCATAGAGCAGAAACAAGACCGTCTTTTTTCTTCTTCAAAACTACATTCTGCCATTCTCCAGATTTGTATGCATCTTCTCTGTTATATTCACGGGTTAAGGATCGTGTCACTGGGCGATTAACAGGAAAATCCTCTTCCAGTAACGAGGTCTTTTTCTTGTTTTTATTTCTTCCCTTTGAACGACCTATGGTGACAGATCTGTGGGGTTCGTCAAAGGGAGCTCCAACCTTAAGACCCGTTGAGAGAGAGTCTCGCACCTCTGGAGTTAAGAAAATTCTGCGTGTCTTTATTTCTAACATTACTGCTCTTTAAATAGAGCTTACAGATAAAATAGGAAAACTTGTCCAAGTAGGAAACCTAATTGAAATAGAATTAAAAACCTAACATAATACCATAACTGGAAACAAAAGCTAATAAAAATAAAATAGCATAATTAATGTTGCTGCTGAATGGTTCCACGCCTTTTATACTGTTTTCCAATAAAGGCATCCTTAACATCACTCCCCTCCTGGAGAAAGAGCTTGTCCTCAAGCTTGTAATGTGGAAAAGCATCACGAAGCTGAACCAGATCACGTAGCATCATCAGCTGAAAATCCACACCATTGAGCAAGAATCTCCCAATTTCCACGATTGAGTCGGGATCGGAGAATGGTGTTTGGGACAAACACAACCTTGCCATCTTCCAGAGGGGGTAATGCAGGCTGACCGGTAGGAACTTCTCCCTTGAAAGGTTTGAGAAGGGAAACATGAAAGACATCATGAAGCTTGCAATCTGATGGTAAAGCTAGTTGATAAGCAACTTGACCAATTTTGCGTACCACTGAAAAAGGACCATAAAACTTAGGAGCAAGCTTATGGTGTTTATGGCCAGCAAGAGAGCGTTGTCGATAAGGATGCAACCGTAACCAGACCAATGAACCCGGAGTAAACTCGACATCGCGATGACCCTTGTCATAAACCTCTTTCATGCGTTGTTGGGCCTGTTGAAGTCTGCTGCGAATTTCTTGCAGAACTAGATCCCGGTCAATCAAGGCTTGATCCAGAGCATCTACTCTAGATGATCCTGGAGCATAGGAAAGCAGATGAGGTGGATCACGCCCATAGACAACCTGAAAAGGTGAAGCACGCAATGCAGTATGATAGGAAGTGTTATAACAGAATTCTGCCCAGGAAATCCAGTTCACCCATTGCTTCGGTTGTCCTCCCACAAAGCAACGCAAGTACATCTCAACTGTGCGGTTAACAACCTCTGTTTGCCCATCACTTTGTGGATGGTAGGCTGAGGAAAAAGCTAGTTTGGTGCCGCACAATCGAAAAAGCTCTTTCCAAAAATTACTAGTAAAAAGAGCATCACGATCAGAGACAATAGATTCAGGTAGGCCGTGTAAACGCACAACTTGGTTGAAGAAGAGACCAGCAACACTAGCAGCAGTATAAGGATGTGCGAGAGGAAGGAAATGAGCATAATTAGAGAAACGGTCGACTACTACCAGAAGAGCTGATTTTCCTAATGATTTTGGCAAGCCATCAATGAAATCCATAGAAATGTCA